TTTTATTTACTCTTGGTAAAATTCCTAAGAATCTTTGATGGAATACATCTTTTTCTTGTAAATCTAATATCTTCTTAGTGATTCCTGTATATTTTTTAATATCAAAGGTAATTTCTTGATTTATACCTTCGATAGAGTCTTCAACTTATTCAGTTGTTTCTATTTCTATTTCTGATTGTTATATCTCCTGATTCATATATACTATCTCTTCATAATATTTCTCTGATGAGGATGTATTTAATTCATAAATGCTTCTGCATTCACTACTTAGATCTTCAAAATCTTCAATTGGTTCTATGTCACTATCATCTTGGAATTTTTCATAAATTCTAAGAGTTTTTATATTCTGTCTATCTTTCTTTTTAGGACATTGGGGGGCAATGTGTCCTTTTTCATTATAAATAAAACATCTACATTTTTTAATATTTCTTGGTTTAAATTTTTTATTCCAATTTCTTTTCTTGAAATATTTTTTGTGTGGCTTAAAATTTCTTTTCTTGAATTTTTTATAGTTTTTGAATTTTCTTTTATATTTTTTATATGATTTGTATTTCTTCTTATGACATCCAAATTGTTCAACTTGGCCAATATCTTTGTAACAACATAATGAATTCTTTCTTATTTTATATGTTTTCTTATTTTCTAGTGCTTCTCTACACCATATGCCTATCATTCTTTTTGTAAATTCAATCCTACTTCCAAAATTATCTATTTTTACTCCTTCCTCTTCTCCTAGAGGTAATAATTTCTCATATTCTTTTAATAACTTACTTCTCCATGGGAATGGTAACTTAATAAAATAAGATCTTAATATATGTTTATTTTCTTGATAATCTTCTTGGTTTAATATATAGTATATTTATTCAAATTTACAAGTATATCTTTCTAATTCACACATATCACATATCTTTAAATTTTTCATTGCTATCATTCCTCGATTATATTCATCTTGTTTTCTTTTTTCATCATTAGAAGTATATCTATCTCCTAAGAATTCTGTTGTTAAGATTTTGCAAATCTTTTTAATATCTCCTGAATATTTTGTTCATTTAAAGTATTCCTATTATCTAATACTTCAATTCTACCGCTCCATACTTTATTCTTCCTTTAATAATTTCTGGTAACTTTCTCCACCATTTAGAAACAATTCTCTAAATGTATGTTCTATAAATCCAAAAGCTATATATGTTTCCCATTTATTAAATTGTATTGCTAAATCTGTACTTTTCATCCATATTTTAATGGTTTTTTTTATCTACACAATCTAGATCTAACCATATTCCTGTTGTGTGAATTGATTCATTATAAGATTTCATTAGGTTTATCTTACATTTCCAATGTATCTTTTCTGTATTTTTTTATATTGATAAATACCATCCTTATCAGGTATTGGGGTACTATAAGGATAATTTTATTTTTCATCACTACTGAATTCTACTTTTATATTCTGACTTGAAGATGGATTAGTATTCATCTTTGTATTTTCCATTTTTTCAGTTAATTTTTCTAACTGTTTTTTATATTCTACATACTCTTCACCTGTAGATTCTAAGAATTTTTGTTCTATTTTTTCTACATCTATAATCATATATTGTTTTTCTTCATGTTTTTTCCCTTTATTATTTTTCTTTTGTGTTATCCTAAAATCTTGAGGTGGATTAATTATAATCCTATCTTTTCCTTTAAATTTTTTATCTAAAAGAGCGTTTCCTACTTGTAGATTATATTCTAGTTTTTCTAATCTTTTGTGTATATCCTCAAAACTTTCATTTGTGGTGTTTTTAGGTAAATAGGGATAACTAGGTTTTTTTTATCTTTTTCAACATTTTTCAAAAATTCTTCAATTATATTTTCTTCATCTACTATATTCATCATAATTTTTGGTTCGTAACATGTCTCTGATACTATTTCATCCAAGTGTGTAGCGGAGGGGTTAAGATTTTTGAGGCAATTGAAATCTTCATACGTATTTAAAATATCACAATAGAATTTATAAAATTCACTATTTTTTATTAAAACTTTTTCTTCAATAATTATTTTTAATTCTTTAATTTTTCTTCTTATGTTAAGAATTTGTTTATATATATTATTTTCTATTTTGATTGTACTATTATCTATAGAAACATTTTTATTTTTTATTTTTGGATCTAAATATTCTATAAAGAAACCTTTTAGATCTTCTTCTAAATATTTTAATTCATTTTCTGTTGCATTTTTTAGATAAATAAAATTTTGTATAATATTTGGCTTTAAATTTATTAAAGATTTTTAATCTATATTTCTTTGAGGATCTAATTGAAGGTTTTTATACATTGTAGTGGCTTTTGTTGCAATTTCACAATAAGGGGTATTTTTGGAAAAATTACTGTTCAAGGGCTATTCTTCAAATGTTTATATTTTTTGGTCTAATCTTACAAAACTCCCTTTTATTTAGGCTATCTAGAGATATTTCCTTTATCTGGGTAGTATATAACGATTATACAGTATCCATGAAATCAAATAACATGAACTTGAATTATAAGTTTGTTCTTAATGCATTAATTGTTTTATTATATTATATTGTTGAAGAGCATCTATAAATTTAGAGAGTTCAAATTTTGAAGTACTCTAGCACACTCTTTATATTGTTTTATTATATAAAATTTGTTTTTGGACTTCATTTAAAATAATGATTATTTATTTATTTTTAATAATAAAAAAATAGAAATTATTATTATTTTTTATTCCGCAAGTAAACTTAAAAGCTTAGCCAGCATGCTTTTCATAGTTGAAAATCCACATTTTCCTGATCGACAAAACGAAATCGTTGATATCGACAAATGTGACGACGTTGCATGAAGAGCACATTAAACTCAATGTTTAAAAAGAAGATTCGAAGAAAATGTCAAGGCGACCGGTGAGGTTCCACGAATTGGTCAATTGTTCTTTCATTTTCAGCAGTATTTGACATGAATTTATGTTACTGTGAAATAATAAATTATTTGTATAGTAATTAAACTCATATTTATAAGAGTTTAGGTTAATTCGATAAATAAAATATGACTAACAAAGTCAAAGAAAATAATTGATAGACACGCTCACCAATGATAAGGAAGAGGAAAAGAAAAAAGTATTGTCATATATTTTGATTAGCTTTTCGAGGAGTTGAAAATCAATTCAAGTGGATTATCACTGATATATTTTATGTTAATCTAAATACTCAAAAAATGTACGAGCAAATTCTTGTTTTCTGGCATGTTGGGACATATCCTGCGATTGACCTCCCTCGCAATACTCCAGGGGCGGGGCAATGGAACTCCCAAGGTTGGGGTTCAATTTTTATTTTTTTTAAATGCTCAAAAATAAACCACATCGCATACCCAGAAAGTAATAATAATTATTGAAAAGATTTTCTAATAATATTATCTTGACATTGTAGGACATATCGAAGAGTTTGTTTGAATCATGGATAAAAAGTAGAACAAGGATATGAAAGGGATGAACCGTAGGGGCGGAGGTCGGGCTGGCTGGTGGATGCCGGTTTAGGTGCATGCATTTATGTGGCTGGCTGCGGCCAACTGCGGTCCCCTAGGGAAGCAACTCTCGATAGGTGCTTTTACATTTGTTCATGATTTCAACCACTTTTTGGCCCATTTTCTTTTTTCTATTAAAAAAATTAGTTTGTAATCGAAATATTCAGAATCGAGTAACATTGGGTTTCTTGTGATTCTTTTGATGAGAGACAAAAAAAATAGTATTAACTCTTAAGGAGAGCGTCTACATACAACTTAAAATTTATTGCGGATTATAGTTCAAGTTAATTCAAATCATTCCCAGATCCCAACCAACAATTTTAAGAAAATATTCCCTGAAAATTCACTCATACTATGTCAATAGTGTCTCCATCCTGTAATAGCAAATGAATTTTAGTAATTTAAGTAAGCAAATATTAAGCTCTTATTTGAGTCTCATTTTAGTAAGAAAATATAATTTGAAATAGAGATTTTTTTGAATAATGCGTGTTTAAAAAATGAACTTTTTTCGATTTTGGTGTAAAATTATTTTATAGGGGAATGTGATTGAAAATGACTTTTTAAAAAAATGGGGTCAAACATAGTCTAAATATATGGTCGATTAACACATAAGTTAGACGAGTCGAATTCTAAACATGAAATTGTTTTGAGATTAATTCGATGGCAAAGCTATTTAGTGATATATATAATTACTTACAATACATGTATCAATCTCGAGTTGAGTTTTGTTATTATTCTAAACCTACGATCCACTTTTTCAGGTCTTGTTTTATGTCCATTTTTTCAAAATATATTTTTTTCTTCTTTTCAACCACATATTCTCTAATAAAATAATATTACACGAAAATTCAAAACGTTATTTTATTTTTAATTACACATTTTCCATCAATCTACTTTTTTAAAATGCAATTTTCCAACTTAACGAGGCTCAAACAAGTCCTCAATGTATTTTTAACAACTCGATATATAACTTTTTGCTAAGAAAATATGATACATCGAAGTGTCAAATATTTAGGGAACAACATATCAAAGATTGTCAATCTTCCGTATTAGACGTCTACTTTAAATCTACGCAGCTAGTTTTATAATGGCAAAACAAGTAGAAGAATTCCCTTTTGATTTTGAATGAAATCAAAACATAGATTTCTGGAGTATCTAAGAAAAATTTACTCTTATTATTTTCACCCGACTAAACCGGATCGAAGGTAAAATTATCGATCAATAGTCAATTCGAAGAGATATGTATGGCCCGCATCTCACGTCCTCGAAGGAGAGAAACTGGTCATTGACTACGTCAGAGGAATCTTCCCAACAACTTCAATTTTCTGTATGAAATTCAATCTCAAGTCTGAAAATAGGGTCACGTGAGTCGCCCACGATTGAACAGGGCCGAGAATAATCCCCGAAAATATTGACTCGAGTTGACTCAGCCACAGTATTATAAATTGACTTCAATCTAGCTCAAGTTCAGTACACCTTTTCTTTCTCCATTTTTCTTGGATTTCTCTGCATTGAATTTTTTTTTCTTTTAAACTTTTTCTGCAACTTTCAAGAAAACTCCAACGCAGATCCCGAAGTCTACAAGGAAAAAGATGAAGGTTCGCTATTCATTTCCGATTCTTGATTCTTCTGTTTTTGTTTAATAAAGATGGTAGTAAACTTTTTATGACATTTGCTTTGCTATATTTCTGGATTCATTAGTTTCATACAGAAAAAAATTCAAGTTGACGGACTCAAACTTACTGAAAATAAACTTATACGTCAGTTTTACCATTAATTTAACGTGATTTAAGCATGAACGTCCTATTTTCAAGCAGTGCAATTATATCGTTGAAGCTATGCTCAATTGTTAATGTTTTCTGTTGTTTTTGTAACAGAAAGTTGTGTTGAGTTTGGAGTTTGCTGATGAAAAGATCCAGAAAAAAGCTATGAAAAAAGTCTCTGGTCTCTCAGGTATTGTATAAGCAATACTTAATTGCTCTGTAAAATTTAAGTATCACACGAATGCTATGGATTAGATCCTAATCTCCACTTACAAGAGTAATCTAAGAAACCAAAAACAAGAAAAGTAGAATCAGATTTATAGCGGTTTACTATCAACGCGAAAGCTATGTTTACTCGTCATTCACACTTCGAGTCTGTCTCGCACGGAACGTCCCCTTTTATGTAATAAAGTAGAAACATTGGGCCGATCTGCGGTCGATGGATACTTTAACTACACAAATAGGTTTCGTGCAATCTGACCAAGAAAACCCATATTTTGGTATATGAAAAAGAAGTGTTAAACTAAGTGATTTTGATATTGATTTTGAAGGGGTTGAATCCATTGCAATGGATCTAAAGGACAAGAAACTGATAGTAACAGGCGACATAGATCCTGTTTCTGTAGTGGACAAGTTAAGAAAGCTTTGCCAAACTAAAATTGTCTCAATCGGACCAGCTAAAGAACCTGAAAAGCCTAAGGAACAACCTAAACCACAAGTACAGCCCGAGGATATGTCTGAATATTTGAAAGCCCGCCAAGAATACTACAAGCAGCAGCAGCAGCTTTATGACTATTACTCTGCAACTTCTAAGCAACCTGCTATGCCCGGTTATTATGTTGAAAGTGTGGAGGAGAATCCAAATGCTTGTGTTATTTGCTGAGATTCAGAATTCGGTTCTAGTAAAGTGGATCGTACGGTATGGACGGTTTTGGAAAAGAAAAAAGAAGCTAAAACAATGTCTATGATATTGATAGTCCAGTCATATCCACTCCTGTGTGCGGAACATACTCTATATGTTTCACAATGGATATTAATGTTTGGTTCATCTGTTTTCTAGTAGTTAAACTAGTGTAAGGCTTCAATGTTTGTGTGGTGATTGCTTTATTGATCTGCTATTGATTAGTCCCATTTTAGAAAGATTAATAAAGCTTCTTCTTTTTCTACAAGAACAATTTTACTACTGCAAGAAAAGTTGCGCAGATTGAGGATAAATATAGAGAAAGATAACTCAGGTGATTAGACACGTTTTGCGTAGATCTAAAGAGGTTATCGCTCATAAGCCTGACATGATATCAGTAAAAGAAAATTAGAAGAGGGAGGGATAAACTAAAACTAACCCACTGTGTTGTCTTTGTCAAGAATATAGTTGGTCTAAATATTTCGTAGATCTATAATAAATGGAACGAAGTAAAAACATAAATAATAATAAAAAAAGGACTCACGTTGTAAGCCCCGAACTAACTTGGAACAATAACAATTTGCACAAGTAAATGACAAATCAAGATGAAAGGGAAAATATGTACTAGTTTTGTATCTAAATGCCCAAGAGGTTTCAGATTTCTGCAGGAACTCTTCTGGGGAGCAAGAAACAGAATCTTGATTTTAAAAGTGTTATGTCTGATAATCAACCACATGGGACATTTTATCGATCCAATTGCTTACAATTATGAAATGCAAGTTTTCATTTTTTAAGTTCCAAAATGGAATCTTTTCGTGCATAGATTCTTTCTCAGACTTGGTTATGAACCGCCAGACTTTCTCAGCTTCTCATATGACTTCCTTGAGACCTGTGTGAGATTCATATCATAATTCATGAGTTGAAAAGCAATAAGCATTACTAAGAAGCCTTAGTGACGATAATTTTGTTCATATATGAAACTTGCAAATGAAAGATTACGCAGCCAATTATGAATTTCTTAGGATAAGACTCTAAAGGCTTGTTTGTCAAAGTGGTTTTTTTTTTTTTTTTTTTTTCAAATCATCAAATCATTTTTCTCGAGCATCATTTCCAACCACACATTCTTTGGAAGCCATAACTTTTGACCAACTTTTAACCACATATTGTCCAAAAAAATTCATCTTTTCCCTGAGCAAAATCTCCGCCAAACAAGCTTTTAGTTTGCTGTATGAAGCTTATGATTAGGCTCTCTTTTTTTTCCTCCTCATTGAGAACTGGATGTGTATCTATCAAACCACAACCTTAATATGTTTACTATATTCAGAAGGAAGTTATTTAAATTTTAGCCTTTATCTAATCCGGTAAAAGGATGGCGGACCCAGTTTATGAAGCAATGACTCTTTAATAGAACCAAAGAACGCAATTCACCGTTCTATTGCATAGATTTTGCAATGCATTTTGTTGTAGAAATTCCAATTAGGATAGTCTTTCAAAAACGAGTCCATGTTGGAGTTGAAAGTGCATACATACCTGATAAGTAGAGGGAGAATTGCAAAGTGGGCGTGTAAATCCAACTGGAGAAGTTGCGGCAGAGTTTCCAGGGGATGCAGAAAGAGTTGGCCTAGCAATCGGTGAAGCAGTGTACGGCGAAATGGGAGAACGCAGTATTGGCGTATGAAGATATGAAATAGACATCTTGTGAGTAGACGAAAATGGAGATGGAACCGGTGTCTGTCTGTTGGGCTGAGAAGCTGATGCTATTCCAGGAGATTTTGAAGAGTGTTTAACCGAAGGAATCGAATTAATCTTGATTCTACAGAGAGAGTAAGAAGTATCAGATACAACAATATTGATTATAAGACAATGATGGTATGTATTGGTATGCAATGCTCGACTTGACTGGACAGTACAAGAGACAAGATTTTAACTTTCTTCCCCCTTCATACTGTCCTACCTCGTCTAATGCATCCCACCAAACACGCCATGAACGGGGAGAGAGAAACGAAAAATGTCATAACTTGTTGTGAACATCAACGTATTCATCAGTTTCATCAAATATTGGTTCCTGTAAGAGCAGAACACATGAAATAGATTTAGCAAGACTTCAGTAATCAGAACAAGATCAGTCTTAAAAAGTGCAAAAAAAGCATCAATAACGGTAATCCCTGACACAGGTATTTTTGTTACATTACCAGTAGACAAAGAGATACATGTCAACCTATAAACATATACTTCTACCTTTTTCTTCTGTAGCGCGTTTGCCTCTTTCTAAGGCAATTTTATTTCAGATTACCATCTCTTATAAAATTGGCCTTATTCCAAGTTTTCTTTATAAGAAACCGGGAAGAGCTATTCTGAAAATCGAACAATCCACATTTTTGCAGGAATGAAAAAGAAATTAGTAGTCACTGAGGACATTAACTAGAACTGTCTAATCCACTTTATCAAACATGTGGATAAGTGAATTTCCTAAGAAAAATTCCAGGATTTATAATATTAGTCATGAAATTGACCTGTAATAGTTGTTCTAGTACATCTTCCATTGTAATGATACCAATAACTTCTTCATCATTATTAATGAAAGATTCCAAACCATCATCGTTGATCTTCATGTCCAGTCCCGGACTCGGATTCACATTGCTAGGGGAAGGCTGTAAAGTCTGCCTGAACATATTCACTTGTTTACCGTGACCACAAAAACAATTAATTCCTGCAGGCAATGAGGTGCAGATTCAAGATTTCTTCCAATGATTAGTATTTAAATAAAAATAAAAAATAAGAGAGAGAGAGAAATCATACATGCAATTCGGACCCTTATTGTTTGGTAGAGTATACTGGACAGCACCAGATTGATTCAATAGAAAATTGCACCATTGGATCTCAAACCTATTGTCCTAGAGGCAAGTTGGTCATCTCCCTATATCGTAAGGTTGTTCAACCTAAGTGGGTGCTGGGAAATTGCAAATCGTGCTTCCATGGGAGCCACGTGACAATTTAACAGGAAATTGGTCAATTTCTATTGTCAAGAACTGTGCAACTATAATAAAAGGTTGAACACTAACTTTCTCATTTCTAAATGTTGGGTACCAACTGCTACTACGACGATAAATAAATGATGACCAATGGTGCAATTTCTCGTAGTATTAAATTTATAATTAAAAAAAAAAGTTGAAATCTTGTCCTTAATGTCCAGTCATGTGTATCAAACATGCCCTTAGGTGATGACAACTAACCCTTTTGAGTACCTTGTCTTTGTGTTAAATTTGGACTTATCCTCGGTACATCAGATTGTGCAATTATTTCTGCAGGATCCTTAGGATGACTACTCTTAACAACCACAGCCATATGGCTTTGTCCTTTCTGAAACTGATTTAGTATATCGTACAACGGCAAACAATCAAGGAACCTGTTAATTATAAGAGAGGCCACATCAGATTAATTAACAATTGTCTAAATCAAATTGTTTAATGATAGGAAACTGAGAAATGAAGTGCAAAATGCGCCTCGAAACCTGATACCTAGGTATTCTCCTGATAGTGAGATCCCCGATAGAGGTTTCATCTTCCGGACGACGTTTTATTAAATTCTTGACCTAAGTCCATTGTTTTGAAAAGAGATATTTTAGGACAGTTTTAATATGGTGAACATACTAAAGTAAAATCAGCAATAAACTTACCAGAACAAGGCCAACGATGTTACTTGGACTTCTTGAGTACACCGGTACTCGACTATGCCCTTTGCTTATTATCAGACTCAATGTATCACTGAGGACAAGAAGTATCAGCATGTAGAAAAAACGAAAACCTGAGGAGAAAACTTGGGGCTTAAGTGGCCTACTTGTCAAGTTTGGCATTGAGATCAAGAGAGAATACTCCATTTAATGGTGTCATTGCGTCTTTAGCTGTTTTTTGTGTTAAATCCAAAGCTCCGGAAATAATAGTGGTTTCGTCATAGGTTAACTCACCACCTTTTCCAGCCTGATAATGAAAATTGTGATCACATTTAGCCAAATTCTATGAAACAACATATGTTTGAAAGAACTTCAGGTACTAAATTTTAACCTGGTTTGCATGCATATCGACAAATGTCTTTAGCTCTGCACGACGTAGTAAAACAGAATGCCCCTTCCCGAGCAAAAAATCCAACAGCTTCCAAAACGTGAAGAAAAGTTCCGTTGTTAGACAACATGTTCAGAAAATCCAAGAAGAGAGATTATATGTTATGTTGCATCATTTAGAGTGAGAATTTGCAATATTTTCTTCCGTTAGACTGACGGTATTAAGAGAAGAAAAAAGAAGAAAATCTTGTTTATTATAGTGTCTATTCCTCACAGTACAATGTAACTAAATTTGGCTTTGGCTCATTAAGAATTCTGTACCTTGCTAATGGGATAAGATAAAGGAAAGACGATTATGACTAGCAATCGAACCAATATTGATAATCTTGCCCCAATACACAGTCCATATCGAGAACAAACGGCCTGAGGAATGATCTGGTTAAAGAAAAGGCAATTAATTTTCACATAAAGCTATTAGTAAGAAGTATTCCCATTAAGAAAACTAAAAAAGAGCTTACCTCTCCAAAAGCAAGTATGAGAGTAACTGATATAAGTATAGCACCCCATGCAGGGAGAAGAGCGTCGATGAAAATTGGTAGCGCCTAAGTTGACAAAATCAAAATGATAAGTCGAGGTTCCTATTTTCGTACCAACATGAAGCGTGAGATTGTACAATGAGGTCATGTTTTATATGGACGACATTAGGTAGTATTAATAAAGAAAAATTTATTTTCCAATGACATCTACTGCGTACCAAACATGCATTGATATTAATACCTCCATTGCGAGGGCGTTACATATGAGTAAGGTACATAGTAGTAAGTGTTGATTCTTGACAATTGGGAGAATCTTCTCTACAACGTTGAAAAGAAATCGAATCAGAAGTCCAAATACCATCGCGTAAAATGTAATCTGAGCCAAATAAATAACAATCTACTTTTAAGATTAAACAAACCAGCATTTTTCCTATCTTCAGGCTGACCGGCTTTTATGAGGACCTCGAGATCAACGAGACTAAGGGACATGAGTCCCAGGGTTAGGCCAGACATGAGGCCAGCAAATGCCACAAGTGCCACACATATGACTAGGTATACCCAAAACATTGTTTCACAACATGGGACATCATTGGCTGCCATTTTACTGAAATATGTTCAAAACAAAACTTTGGCTGGGAAACACGAAAGTATTGTACGTGCTTTTTGGAATATTAGGCTCAGAAGTATCCGGAAAATTTCTTGCGTCGGAAGAACAAGCTCTTAAGCTTGGGTTGGAAACACAGAAGTAGTTTACGTGCTTTTTGGAAAATATTGGCTTGGAAACAATTTCTGAAGTCGGAAGAATTAGTAAGTTCTTTCTTTGCAGAAATGCTGGACTTAGTACAATAAGAAGTACCATAAAAGGGAATTGTCTTAGATAGCCTGTTTAGGTATGGACATGGTACAGAGGTTATATACTAGGGAGGTGAAAGAATATATGCATATGGATAAGAGGGAGACGACGGATTATTAACTGTAAATATAAAAGCCAAGAGCAGTTGTCTTGAATTGTTGAGTGAGGTTGGATTAATGGAGAATGATGACAAACGATATCCCTTAATTAAATTATGAGCATATCTCAGTTTTATATAACATTAATGAAAATAAGTTAATATACTACTACAATTGTAGCCTATTTGTTGCATTATTTGCATCCATAATTTCTTTTTCTATTTTTATTTTTTAAGGATGGAAGTTAGGTTTTCTCACACAGAATATCACTTGAGCAGAATTAGGCGCATTATGGGTACTTTAAGGACGCTCGAGCAGAACTTAGGCACTCTAAGAATGGTAGACTTCAGTAAATCGTGCTCGAACGTCTTCTTCTAGCCAAGAATAGTTTACAACAGTGCAGTACAAACTACATATCATTTAATTAACCTATTCTTACTCAACACCAAGCAACACAAGCCCCAAATTTGAATGCAACTCGATGATTACAACACAAACTCCAGTGATAAGAAATAGATTTGAGTGAAGAATGAAAGAAAAAATTAAGGAGATAAAATCAAATATAAACATTAAAACTTTTAATTTTAAATACAAAATTTTCATACCCAATTGAAGAATAGAGATTAAATTTGGAGATTAGAGGAGGGTTTATTTAAGATTTTTTTTTTGGGTCTATCAAAGAATAGAGTAAACTGTAGTTTATAAATGTGAGAATGGATAAAGATCAATTACAGAATTTTTTTTTTTAAATGAAAAATCAAAACACTTGACCTCACATGACCCATGTGGGTCCCCCAGTCGTAAAAACCATATATGAATTCTCGTAATAGAACAAAAGAAAGTTTGGTCGAAGGAAATTTGAGGGGAAAAAAATCATCTAATAAAAACTTATCGAGAGCTAAACATAGATGGTCAGTTATATATTAAAGATAGAGAAATACATTCTCTGGCTACATTACTTTGTAGATGAAATCCACCCTCCAAATTTCAAAGATGTCAAAAAATAGCAATGGTACATCTGCTTACACTAATGATAATTAGTGAGTAGTTGAAAAAATTATCGTACATAAATTATATTCTAATAATTTATTTTTCATAGTGCATAAAATCGGACATAATTTCAACTTGTTCGCTACATTACTTTGTAGATGAAATCCACCCTCCAAATTTCAAAGATGTCAAAAAATAGCAATGGTACATCTCTTATGCTCGATTAGACAAACAAAGTTTGTTACTTCTTTCCTTTTCTAGTTATATTTATTATTTATTCAAGCCCACGTGTCAAGGATCGCAGCTTTACTTAGCCCCTTGACACTATTGCAGTCGCAATTTGCCCAACTTCGACCGCACATTGTAAATATTACTTCAAATTTGAATTGTAATTTTCTTTTCATTGTAATAGTTATTTCAGTTGTAAAATAGCTCTGATATTGGTAAACATTTAGTATGATTCCTCGTCTTTTAAATGTCTATTCCCGTCGCTTGGGTTTTTGTTCAGAATGCTATTATAGAGGGTATTAGTCATTCAAAAATCTTTCAAACTCACTGGTGTCCGCCCCCTGCACCAACAATTGTAATTTTTTGCTTTCATCAATTGTAATGTTCAGTTTTCATCAATCAATATTCAATTTACTTTCAATGTATTCAAATTCTCTATTGTAAGCTTTCTACAAAATTGTAATCAAATTTTCTTTCGTCCCGATGTGATCGAGAAAAGGCGGAAGGTAGTCTAGCGGAGCAGACTACTGCCGCACAGTGTCCCTTTCTGTGCCAAGAAGAAAGGCACCCCGTGAAAGTTGGTATCAGAGCTGCGGCTCACGACCAAAAAGGAAAGAGAAGGGTCTTCTTTGATGAATCTCTCTTATTCTTGTTTAGTCCCTTACTCAAGCGTCAAACTTAAGCTACATGATTTGCACTTTTATTTTCTAATTTTTCAATATAGGATGTACACTTTTCCATTTTTCCCTCCAATTTTAATTATAATTTCAAGTGGCTTATTTTAGTCTTAATTTCTCATTCCCACAAAATTAATTTAAAAATATATATACATTACCACAGTGTAAAAATACACTCGTTCAAAGAAATTATGTATATGACTAATAGGATCCACTCAAATTATTGGTTCAGAGTTGGTCAAGCCAACTTATTTAATAACCAATTTCTAACAATAGAAAACCGAGATACTTTTAACTTGATAGACAAGTGCAAGCAAAGACTTGCGTTAGTAAAATAGTAGATATTGAATTTATAAAAGGATTTAGATACTCTACCAAATATGTTAATTTTTGGGGATGGCATCCCAATTCCCTAACCCTAGCTTACGAAGGTCTTAATTAAAGTAGTTAAATGTTGTCTTGCCAATTTTAAAAACAAAATTTTAAAATTATAACCATTGATATTGTAATAAAAAGCTTGTAATTTTCTACAAAATAATATACGTGTTTGACCATAATAGATAATACTTAAAAGGCTCTCGGAGTTTTGAGTAAAAAAACTGCTTCTACTTTAAAAAGTGAACACCCATCCAAACTCGATCAAAAACTAGTTTAGTGACGTACATTGAACTAAATTTATTTAAACGCTTGCGAAACAAGTAACAAGTTTCCCTCATTAGAGGACGTCGAAGCAATAACCTTATGAGACAATCGTTTACAACATGTTAAGATTCAGTCTGTTGAGTTTCTTTCTTTTGCTGATACCTGTGGGATCTCGGAAATAGAAGATCATTCAGTTGTCTTTCAGCACTCTACTCTGAATAGGCCTGCAAATGCAACATACTTCAATGAAAGGAAAGAATTGCTGGCGTGTGTTTCTTCACTGGCAACTAGCAGTAAGAACTAAGAATAAATAATGACTTGCAGTTCATGTTGAAAACTTTTAATTTGTTCAAATTTCAATAAGACCCATCTTCTATTCCAACTTATAATCCTATCCACATTGATATGTAATGTGAAATCCCAGACGCAACCTTGGCTGTTCCAGTGTCTAATTTGTGTAGATTGTCAGAATGTCAGCCATGTCTCAAGACATAATTATAATGGTAATCATATATAGATAATAGACATGGTGAAGGCATGGCCAGGACAAATAGCCTACAAGACAAAATTAAAATCTTTAAGGTAGTTCATGCGAACAAAAGAATGAAATATTTACCCGTTTCTTGAATGCAAAGCGCAATGTCTGCACTTGTTTTCCTGAGCAAACTCTCAATGCTAAACCAAGGCTATCCACGCCTATTAGAGCTACCTCCTGTCATAGTTTCAATTAGAAAAGTAGTAGCAAAATTTTACCTACGTATATCAAACAAATCTCTGGTGACATGTAAGATGGTCTTTTTGCTCTGGTAACAACACTCTAGAGTGGTTACAAGCAGATGATTCAAGATTATGAACAGAAATTCTAGCACCAATCACTATGTTAAATAATTTATCTCAAGAAATTAAATGGTATTTTTTCAGGTGCAAAGCTGTTGGACCCGGAAGGATTATAGCGAATGAGATTAATGACGCGATATGAAATAATGAAGATCGCAATGAGAAACAAGATTTAAAAGCAAAGAAATTAACAAAGAGAGTTAATCGCAAAGCACGATGTTTTATTAATCGACAATACATAGAGAAATACAAGAATTCAACAATTCTTGCTTGAACAAAATTAAAAGAGAAGACCACTGTTTATAGGTATATGGCATAACACAAAGATGGAAATAATGTGAAATAAGAAAATAATATATTTCCATAAAAATCACGTGAAATATAAGAAAATAAAATTTCCCACATGAAAATAAGAAAAAAATTTATTTCCAAAAAAAATCCATCCTAATTTGGGTCATAAACTCAACAATCTCCACCTTGACCCAAATTCTGGTGCAATGAACGAAACTCCAAGATTTCAAATCCGTTTACATCGAAATAGTCAATCTTCTCAACACAGTATCCAAAATTCTCCAAACCAAACTGTAGTCCTCTGCAAGGTGTCCACAAACGAAACATGTACACGAATCTTTGGTTTCCAAAATTCTACCGAGGAATTACTGTTGACTAAACAGGGTTGAAGCACATCCTGTAACAGAAACCATACTACGTGCTGGATTAGAAGGCCCATTGCTAGAACTGTCGCCTTCAATGTTTCCAAAAGCATCCCAGACATTATTGACACTACGGTACGAACGCTCCATGAGTCCAACCTTAGCAAATGAACACATTATATTCGCTGAAATTGGTGGCAAAGCGGAATCAACAATGCTCCTTCGAGCAATGTTCCGTCATAAGAAGTATTGTACCAAATTGAATATCCACCATAATACTGAATTTGTTTAGATGTCTCTTAACTGGTTCTGCGTTCACCTGCAAGATGTACAACCGAGACCTTCTCCATCCTTCTAGTACAACCCGAATATCCTTTCGGACTTTCAAGACTCTACCTCCAACAGAGAATTTATTCCCTTTTGCATCTGGAATACTAAGCGAGATGAGATTCATTTTCAGGTCTGGAACATGTCGAACCTGATCAATTGTTCTGACTATCTCATCCCGCAGGCTAAATCTGGCTCGACCGATCTCAACAATACGATAAAACTGGTTGTTTCCCATTACAACTCCATCTTACTGAACAACCTCATATGTCTGAAAGAAATTTCGATTGGAACACATATGATGCGAACATACCGAATCGAGAATCTACTCCTCGTCAAGCCTAGATTCCACGTCAGATATCAAATCAACATCACATCTCTGAAAAATCCTCAACTAAATTTGTTTCGTCTGAAGTCAAAGGTTGTGCTCCATGATTTGCAATTAAAGCACCTTTAGCCTGCAACTTATCACAATTCTTTCAAATATGTCTCTGACGTCTGCAGTAGAAGTAAAACAAATTGCTGTTATTCTTCGATCTACCCCTTCATTGACCACTATGAGATATCAGAGCTTTTTCATCCCTCAATGTAGCTCCAAACAAATGCTTCAACATCTCCTTGGAGGGCAAAGCATAATAGACATTGTCTATAGTCAAAGTATCCCAACTATACAAAATGTTGTCCCGAAATGACGCATAAGAGCCAGCAGCAAACATAATAGGATCAAGGCAAGATCCTCTTCAACATATTTAACCTCTGTCTCCAAATCTGCGACAATTTCTTTGAACACAGCAATATGATCTTCCAACGACCATCCTTCCACCATGCGATGGGAATACAACTTCTGCTTTAGAGCCAGTTTACTGGTAAGACACTTGGTCATACATAACTGCTCAAATTTCAACCACAAAGCAACTCTATTTTCTCCTTCAAGACATCCTAAAGAATATTGTTAGATAAATGAAGATGAATCAACGACAAAACCTTGCGAACCCTCCGTTATTTCTCCTCCACTGTCCAATTAGCTGACATCTTCTCAAAACTCAATAGCGCATCGTTCAAATCTAACTGCGCCTCATCTTTACTTGCCACAAAGAAACCTTGTATTCCAATCCAATTGCGAATATCATATTTCAAAGCAGCCATCTTTGAAAAACCTGAACCATTCCACAATAAGAACCAAGTTCTGATGTCACTTGTTGGACTAAAAAGATTGTAGTGAATGAGATTAATGACACGATATGAAGTAATGAATATCGCAACGAGAAACAAGATTCAAAAGTAAATAAATTAACAAAGAGAGTTAATCGCCGAAATACAACATTTTATTAATTGACAATATGGAGAGAAATACAAGAACTCAGCAAATCTTGTTTGAATAAAACTAAAAGAGAAAACTACTAGTTATAAGTACATGGCATAACATCAAGAAAGAAATAACGTGGAATAAGGAAATAATATATTTTCATAAAAATCACGTGCAATATAAGGAAACATTTTTTTCTCACATGAAAATAAGGAAACATTTTATTTCCAAAAAAAGAAAAAAATCCATCTTAATTTGGGTCACAAACCCAACAAAAACAGCTTAGCCCCCGTTTAATCCCCATTACCTGAAAATGAAAATGGGGGGAACAGTATTTTTTAGAAAAATGAGTTATTGAAAAAGAAGAAATTTTTTCGATTTACGTGTAATATTATTTTATGAAAGATTGTGTGGTTGAAAATAGGAGAGAGAGAAATGGAATGTAATGTAATTGAATTTAATGGGGATCAAACGGGGGGCTTAGATTAAAGTCCACACAAGCAGGGAGAGGGTTGGATACTGTTTCTTTCAGATTCACCATGCTGTCATCTTCAACCACAGCCGAAAAAGCTAAGCATTTATAACATGATACCAAGTAAAATTTCAAGTTCTTCCTTTGTCTTTGTTTTTGCTAATCATCACATTTCCTATTCACAGGAACGCAGCAATTACTTTGAGTCAATTACCAAAGTAGATTTCTCATAATATTTAACCCAAAATATTTTTTAACAAATCCGATTTTAGGTCAACAGCTTCCTTTTAATGGGATTGGTGGTCTAGGCATGTTCTTGGGGACGCCTTAGTGTGCTTAGTAAGTTTTTAGACTCGTGGGGATTTGTGGATTTTGAAGGAGTACGGATTAAAACGCTCTTAGACTAAAGCGGTTAGTATATAATTCCATGATCACAAGAAGTATATGGATTCATCATCGTTATACATGCAAAATAATAGAAAAATATTGTTATTATTGGGATCGACCACTGTAGTTCACAATTCTAAATACAGAAGTTTGAGATATCTTGCACTCAGTAAGTTTATTGCCTGCTTGATGCAATATTTATGTTGAAAGCTTAATTTCATGGTTAATGATGCACTGCGGGATAACACTAGTAACAAGTAGGGAAGTTAATTGAATGATATCTTATGTGATATATATGGAAATTTTGATCTTATGATAGTGAATAAATGTTGCCTAGCAATGTTTCCTGATTCCTTGGGTTACGTTTGGTGTAGACTTACAAAAAATTGAATATGAATTAGAATGATTAACTGTAGGTGAAGGGTATTGTGGTAGATTATATTCTTTAACTTTTTAGTAAAAAAATGCCATTTGCACTAAAATAAGTTTGGGATGGATCCAATGGCACCTTTTTCCCACTATAACATCCCTACTATTATACTTTTTGCGACTGCTCCCTAAAGTTGGGATGATGGCACATTTTACCCATTTCAAGAATAATGACTTTTTGAAAGCTAACAACTTATTTAGCCATTTTTCCATTTAGTTAAGAATTAATTTTTTTAGCAGATTTTAATAAAATTTGAGAAAATGTGAATTGAAAAATTGTGAATCTTATGAAATACATGGTTGAAAATGAATTTGACAAAAAATAAATTTAAAAAAGGAGAACTAAGACCTTGTTTCGTCCCCATTATTTTCAAATTGCATTTTCTCTATCTTCTTTTCAGCACATTATTCAACAAAATAATATTACACGTAAATTCAATTTTTTTTAACTTTTTAATTACACACTCTTCATTAATTTACTATTCGAAAATACATTTTTCAATAAAATTGGGGTTCAAATATGCAATAAACATGAACTTAAATTAAACAAGTTAAATAATAAATGATACAATTATGTGGGATTGACTTGAAACTATAATGAAATTATAGTTTTTTTTAGCACTTTTCAAAAGGCTCTATGGGAGTAGGGCTGTCAATTGATCAGATATGGAGCGGATCTGTCCAAATCAAATTCGATCCGATAATCCAACGAATATTTGATTGTTAAATCCATATCCGATTTGCTAAGTTATCGGATATCCGATCCGATAATTCGATTCGAATTTTTTTCCACCAATTTTTTCCCAAAAAAATAAATGTTTTAACTATTTTGATGGGCTTACTTAATATACTAGAAGGCCCAAATCAATTTTTTATCTAAGTGATGGTCCTTTAGTTTTTTTTAAAGAAAATTTCTCTTGAAATGTTTTAATAATCTTCCGATGTAGGATATTACATTTTTAAAGGGTACTTCTCTTCTAATTTTTTAGTGGTTTTTCAATGTGGGATACTACTAATTGTCAATTCTAGATGTTTACTAGTTTATTTTATTATTTTCACTAAAAATCATAGCCTTAGCAAAATTAAAATAAAAAATAATATCAATTTTAACAAAGTAAATTATTTTTGGACATATTAATTATTAGTTTTTGATGTTATAAAACAAATTACTATAGTTATTTTTATCTTATTTTAATTAATAAAAAATTAAACCTCTTTGAATATTTCAAGTAAAAATATTATACTGTTATCTAATATTATTTATTATTTGAAAATTATGCGTAAAGCATAATATAAGTTTCAAAATGGAAAAAAATATGTTTAATAAATTATGATATAATATAGAAAATAGATAATATTATTATAATAAATTGGATCGGATTGTTATCGGGTCGAATCGACATATATTTATATTTGCTCCGTTTAATTAACGAATTATCAAATTCGGATTTTAATCGGATTGAAACCTTAAATCCATCTCCCGTTAATTCCATCGGATTCGGATCAAAATCCAATCCATTGACAGCCCTATATGGGAGTGTCCGATAGTCATTTTTATGTAAAAATGTATTTTAGAATAATAAATTGATGTGAAATATGTGGTTGAAAAATAAAGAAAAGTTTTTATTTACGTGTAATATTATTTTAATAAAAAATGTGTGGTTGAAAAGAAAAGAGAAAAATGCATTTAAAAAAAAATAATTATCAAACGGAGCCTATAAATATGATATGCTCTTTATTTTAAAAATCAACATTTAAAATCACGTACTAAGAGATTTTTTAAATTGACATTTTAATTTAGAAAGTTAGAAAGCCAAACTCACTATCTATAAATTAAATACATTTAAAATGTTTCAAGTTTCAATATAAAAAAATAATAAAATAATTTAAAGAAAAGTTGGTTAAAATAAAAGATGTAGAAAAATAATATAAAGAGTTTGTTGAAATATTTCAAAATTTTAACTCTATAAATGATATAATATAGTCTTTAAAAACAGAGATTCTCTTGGAGAAGCTCTAAGCCAAACATGAATTTAATTACAGTGGCATATGAAAGTTGGGTGATCAATTTGAAGTAAATTAAGATTTAAGTGATCAAAAGAAATAAATTTATAAGTCAGGTGACCTCCACCGAATCTCCTCTCCAACCCATCCAAATGCTCTCCCACTTCTAGAGAGTTCTGAATCACAAAGGCCTGACTTGCATACCTACAGAGGGGATTCGTTGGCTCAATCGTGTATCAATGGCGTCGTTGGATCTGCAAACAAAAGCAAAAGCGGCGTTCATAGATGACCATTTTGAACTCGCCGTTGACCTATACTCTCAGGCGATTGCTTTGAGCCCTAACACCGCCGAGCTTTTCGCCGACCGTTCTCAGGCCAACATCAAACTCCTAAACTTTACTGGTTAATACCTAAAGCTTTACTTAAATTACTTTTCATAGATTATTTTCTGCTCTGGTCTTTTTTAGTGTTCCCTTTTATTTACTTAAATTTTGATGCTTTTTTGTATCTTCAATTATGGGAGCTAATCACATGCAATATAAGTACCTTCCTAATATTATTTATTGAATGTGTGTATTATTGATAATTGTGTATTGGATTTCAATTTAAAAAGGTCACTGTGTAGCCCAACTGTTGGTTACTGCTTTTATATTTAAGTTCTGCCGTATTTTGTCCTTAACATGCTCCCGCAGCATGTTCACTGACCAGCTTGAGAATGTCAATCCTCGAATCTAACAGCTTGTTTGAGCTTTGGCGAGATTATATTATTCATTTGACTTTTGAGGATGAAGACTAGCTGCTCAAGCGTTTAGTTGTAGATGGTTGTTTTCATATTTAAGCACTTGAATGATGGCTTGTTTGAGAACACAAACTTTGAAATTCAACTTCTTGATAGAGCTTTAGACGGATGTAATGGCTTTCATTTAAGATATTTGGTTTCTGATACCATATTGAGTCTTGGGGTTCCATCTTAAATATTTTAAGAGTAGGGCTTGTCTATAATGTGTATCTTTTATTGACTAAGTGTTTATGTTTTAAACCTTGGGTAATTGGAATATTTCTTGAAAACGTGGAATTATCATTGCTGAATTGATTGTTAAAATTGTGCTTTAATTTATGGATAATTGATTGTAAATTTTCATGTTGATAACAGGAAATTTTTCTGAATAAAATCTGTGAATGTGATTAGAATGTAGTGCTAATGTATCTGCTGAGTTACGATTTTATTGGAGAGTTTGTTGTGCATATGACAAGATTTTGGTTTTTCTGGTCTATTTGACAATGGTTCAACCGTTTCCCTTCTTCCTTTTATTATCATGTTTTACAAACTTTTTGTGCGGGTGGCGGTTATGTTATTTAATTTTATTTTTTTTGTCGAGCAGGAGCCATTTCTGATGCAAACAAGGCAATTGAATTGGACCCTTCAATGGCCAAAGCATATCTGCGTAAGGGGTGAGTTCATTTAGTTAATTTTAGTTGATGCTGTTTCAATTTATTTTTTTATGTTTTCAAATAGTTAATGATTACGATAATTTTCATGCTGCTTAACTAGAGCCTTGCAGCATCAATTTCTACACCTTATATTGGTGGTTTGACTTTGTCATGCTCTTCGAATAAAATCTGAAGCTGTGTATGAGGAGGATGATATTACTATAGTTCTTCACCTGTTAGCTTCCCTTGGAAAATAATAAGATCTCCCCATATTAAGTAATAATGTGTTGTACGCATAATGCATAAATTAAAAAAATGTTGTTGCTGATGATTTCATTTTTATAGGTGGTTGCAGTAACATGGGATGTATAAGATTGCAATGGTCATTTGTTTTTCTTTCTTAATAAACTTTTTGTTTCTTTAGGCTAATAATTGGTTATGTGCTGTGTTATCGGTACTAAATAAATTAAAAAATGCCATTGCTGGCAACTTCATTTTTATAGGCGATTGCCGTAACTTGGGCTGCATAAGATTGAAATGGTCATTTGGTTTTATTTCTTGATGAGTTGTTGTTTCTTTAGGCTAATAATGTGATTACAGTTGTTTGTCTTCATAGTTCAACTTTATTTCCTGAATTCTAATTCTCAAACTATCTCAGTTTACATGCGCGATTAGTTTACTCTCTATTTTGCCATAAGAGTCATCGTTGCCTGATAATTTGATCATTTTTTCTCCGAGGAAGAGACAAAATCAACTTGAATCCGGGACGGTTTCTCAAAATCTTAGTGAAACAATATATTTCTTATCTCATGCTTGCTTTATGTGAAAAAATACCATTTGAGAATGGAGGATTTCTTCCAAAAGAAAAAGTGGCTGGGTCCTATGTTTGATCAAATGAGATTGAACATGTTTCCCATCTCTTCTCGAGGAACAAATGGGTGATTTCTTTACAAGATTTGCTCAATTTCTTATGTGGAAAAGCTGCCCTAGGTATCTTCCTTAGTTGGGGAAGAACCGGTCTGGCGGTCTTCATTGGATCAACACGAATTTCTGCTAATAAATTGTAAAGAGGGAAACTTAATATGATTAAGCTCACATTTTCTCTTTTCGCCTTCGTCACCATTCTTTTTGGCAGCTGAATATTGTCTTTTGCTTACAGCATGGCTTGTATTAAGCTTGAAGAATTCCAAACTGCTAAGACAGCATTGGAAACTGGTGCTTCTTTGGCACCGGAAGATTCGAGGTTTATTAAATTGATTAAGGAATGCAATGAACGCATAGCAGGTAATCCTTTGTTGTCTTTAAGGCGATTGCTTGGGCTTTGGTACTGATGTATTTTTAGTTAAAGCTTGTTTGTCTCGTGTAGCACCTGAGTTCTAGTTTTATTACAAGTCACCTCGATAAAAGTAATCACTTTTTGGTAGCAAATTGAAGCTGAATTCTGTTTTGTTTAGTTTTTTCCTCCTGAAGTAGATTATTTTGCTGTGGCCCTTAATTTTACTTGATTATTTTCATACACGAGTTTGAGTTTTATAAAATTTTACATAGCTGTTTGGTTTTGTTTAAGTTGTTTTCTTGCGTACTCGAAGGTTATATTATGTTATACAAGTAAACAAGTATGGTTTATTTATTTGATATTTTTTGGCTGCTTAAATCAGAGGAAGCTGGAGAAGTGCTTAAGCAATCGGTTGATGAAGGACCATCTAATGTGACTTCTAGATCAGAATTGTTGGGTCAAGGTTCTGTGACTCTGAGTGATGCTTCTGGAGCTATTAGTTTGTCCAACGAAGGAGCAGCGGTGTCATCTACCAAATTAAAATACAAGTTAATATTCTATACCAATATGGTGTTGGTTTGAATTTCTTTAATGGCAAGCTCAACATTATTTTATCTTTGCTTTAATAATTATAACTGACTATTACATGGATTCCTCCAGACTCGTCAAATGCCAGTGATGTATTTATTGCTTCTTGGCATTTTATTTTGGTAGATCACATAAGTCAGTGGATAGCATGTTATGGAAATGTTTATAAACCATTTAAATTACAAATAGATAGAAATGAATAGTGGATAGTAGTGTGTGTATCCTTCAAAATGTGATGATAAAAAGTGGCTTGAGTGTTCATAAACAAGTTATACACTCTGCCAAATATAATTCAATTCTTATCACTTAATGTTCTAGAGGCATGTTATTTCATTTTTGTGTTTTCTAATAGTTTGTATTGCAGGCATGAATATTATCAGAAGCCAGAAGAAATTGTTGTTACAATATTTGCGAAGCGTGTGCCAGAAAAGAATATCGTGGTTGACTTCGGTGAGCAAATAGTAAGTCCCTACAACAACCATTCTTCTCATTTTGCATTTATTTTTAAATTGTCTTAGGATAACAGTGGCTAACAGTGCCAACTAAATTTTATCCTGGGTTGCTATACAGCTCAGTGTTACCATTGATCTACCTGGCGAAGAAGTATATCATTTTCAACCTCGGTTATTTGGGAAGGTACTGCTTCAATTTCATGCTCTTGACTGTTTAGTATCAGAGCATTTGAATTGAATGTGTTGCTTTGTTTTGAAAACAATTCCTTTTTTTGTAAGATTTGAATCTTTGTTGGGGATAACTCTCCTAGGACCTCAGTTAGAAGATGTAGCAAGTTTCCTGTTGTTAAGAGTAGTACATTTATCTATTTAGAGCTTGAAAAACATTTTAAAAAAAGTTGAACGTACCATTTTAGAAGTAAGTTTCTGAATTACACCCCCCCACCCCCCCCACCACACAACCAACCTTAGATTCCTCCAGACTCATCAAATGCCAGTGATGGATTTATTGCTTCTTGGCAGTTTATTTTGGTGGGATCACGCAAGTCATTGTATAGAAAGACAAAATCCATATCACTTGATGTTCTATAGGCATGTTTTCTGCTTACTTTTGTTTTGTCTGATAGTTTGTATTGCAGGCATGAATATTATCAGAAGCCAGAAGAAATTGTTGTTACAATATTTGCGAAGCGTGTGCCAGAAAAGAATATCGTGGTTGACTTCGGTGAGCAAATAGTAAGTCCCTACAACATCCATTCTTCTCATTTTGCATTGATTTTTAAATTGTCTTAGAATAACAGTGGCTAACAACGCCAACTAAATTTTATCCTGGGTTGCTATACAGCTCAGTGTTACCATTGATCTACCTGGCGAAGAAGTATATCATTTTCAACCTCGGTTATTTGGGAAGGTACTGCTTCAATTTCATGCTCTTGACTGTTTAGTATCAGAGCATTTGAATTGAATGTGTTGCTTTGTTTTGAAAACAATTCCTTTTTTTGTAAGATTTGAATCTTTGTTGGGGATAACTCTCCTAGGACCTCAGTTAGAAGATGTAGCAAGTTTCCTGTTGTTAGGAGTAGTACATTTATCTATTTAGAGCTTGAAAAACATGTTAAAAAAAGGTGAACGTACCATTTTAGAAGTAAGTTTCTGAATTACACCCCCCCAACACACGAAGTACCATTTTTGAAGTAATTTTCTGAATTACACCCCCTGAACACAATGAAAAATTACTTTTACAAAATTCATTCACATTTGGCAAAAAAAAAAGTACTTGAAAGTAACTTCTAAGCTTCAGCCAAACATGCTTCTATTGCCTGTCACCCTTCTACACAGGTAGCAGCCATCTGTGAACTGTTTCCTTGGTTTTCCTATTACATGGTATTACTAACTTCTGCATTTGGTGATGCATGTTGCTAACTCTTTTTGTTGTTTGATGCTGTACTGTAAACAGATAATTCCTTCAAAATGTAGATATGAAGTAATGTCTACAAAAGTTGAAATTCGTCTTGCAAAAGCTGATGCTGTACACTGGACATCTCTTGAGTTTAGGACGGATGTTCCAGTTGTACAAAGAACAATTGTCTCATCAGGTACTCATGCTGGAAAAGTAATCTTTCCACACCCCAACTACTTTCATTGACATCAAATTCATATTTATTGTATAGGTTCTCAGTTTTAAGGTAAGCGTATTTTGTGCTATCTTGTTTTTCAGGTATCCAAAGACCCACATACCCTTCTTCAAAACCGAAGAGAGTAGATTGGGATAAATTGGAAGCTCAAGTCAAAAAGGAGGTATATACGTCAACAAATTTCTCTGTTGTCGACTTCTGAATTCATGTCATATTCTGACTAAAAAACGAGAGCAGTCAGTATGGTCATGTTTCCTTGTGTTTTTTTAGGAAAAAGAAGAGAAGCTTGATGGTGATGCAGCTTTGAACAAATTTTTCCGTGACATATATAAAGATTCCGATGAGGACACAAGAAGAGCCATGAGCAAATCTTTTGTAAGATCATCGTTCGCTCATTATTTTTAATTTTTGTAGGGAATTTTATACATGGACATAGTACATTTTTTTTGCAATCACGTCTTTTACCAATGCTTAAAAAACTTTTATGAGGCGTTAAAAGAATATAAATATAAATATGCTAATAATATATATTGCAAACCTTCTTGAAAATTCATAATAAAATAAGCCCCTATTTGATCCCCATTACCTGATAGAGAAAATGGGGGGAATAGTATTTTTTAGGAAAATGAGTGCTTGAAAAAGAAGGAAATATTTTCGATTTACGTGTAACGTTATTTTATGGAAGATTGTGTGGTTGAAAATAGGAGAAAGAAAAATGGAATGTAATTTAATTTAATTTAATGGGGATCAAACATGGGTTAAATTAACAGAAATAAAAATCTAACTTGTTAATGAACATATAAAATAGTTGTACAACTCAAATTAGTAATCACAATAATAAAATTATATTTACCGCTAGAAATGGAAATAACCTAGAATGCTACTTACAATTTGATGTCTAGAACTTAGAGATACTCAGCATATCTGATTCCTTTATTATCCTTATTGCTATTATTTTTAAGTAGAGGTTGAAACAAGAGAACAGAAGACCCATTAAAATGTTTTTGATCCTATTTTATTTTAATCTTGCCAATTTCAAGATTTGCTAATTTCCATGTTTCTATTCAATGATAACCAACCCTTACACAGGTGGAGTCACATGGGACAGTGCTATCAACTAATTGGAAAGATGTGGGTTCAAAGAAGGTAATAGGAAGCCCTCCGGATGGCATGGAGCTCAAGAAGTGGGAATACTGAAATCATCCTGTAATTTTCCTGTGTTGTGACTCTCTGTTACTTGGTTGTCTTTATATTTCTGTCTAATCTAAGTTTATATTATATTTCATCTAGATAATCCCAAAGCAAAAGCTTGTTTCATATAAGTATGTAGTTGGCCATGAACCTATGTTTGTAACAAAACTAATAAATTTTCTTATATATGTAGAACCATGTGTCAACTTCTTTGTTTCATCAACCATTATAAATTAACTTGCCAAGAAGGAAGAAAAATAATTTATGCAAAGTTAAAAGGATTGATACCTTTGCCTATTGTCGTCGTTACAAGTTGGTCTCCAATTTTTTTTCGAGCACATTGGCCCAATATTATTGTTGCTGTAGATAAATGGTCCCATTGTTTAAAACTATTTTTAAGTTTTGCTAATTTGTTACGTAATCCTTGTGGAAATATGATTTGCTTCAATTTCTCTCTAGCTTGCTTCTTCACAAGCATATCCCCACAAAAAAGGGACCAGAATTAGAGTTTGGTCTTGTCTCTTTACTGTCCAGATCCTGTTTTTTTTATTCCATGTCATTTCATTCTGGGATAGGGGCTCATAATAATCTAAGTGGTCTATAAAATTAACATATGAGAACCGAAACGTTGATTAAAATTTGAATTAAATTTAAAAATTAATTTTAATTATACATTTTATGGGATCTATAATTTTTTAATAACATGTATTATCAAAATTTATTTTAACCTGAATCAAAATAGAGGCTTAAATTAACGTGAATTGATTGTGGCAACTATGAGAAAGTGTTATTAACAATCAATGACGTCTTCTGGCATCGGATATGGGTAACTCCGGCAAACTCAGGTCGATGCACGGATTACATCATGCTTCAGATCATAAAACCTCAAAATTCACCTATAATGATCGTATGCATGAATAATTGGTGGAGAATTTTGAGTTGATCTACTCAAATAGAAAGAGAGGCAAAATCTTTGGAGGATCAGAAATTATCAGCACATCACCACCAGCGCCATCATCATCAGGAAACAGTGCTTAGAGCTTCCCTTGTGTACTGTTTTGAGGATTGGCAAATTTACCTATACTGATCGTGAACTGTTTTTCCTTTTGCAGTTTAAAATCAAATTTAATTATTTAATTGGAAGCAGTCATACACGTGAGCCCCATACTAACAATTTAAGCTTTGGGAGGAGATAACTGTGTACTGTTTTTCTTCAAAGTATGTAAGATTAGATCGAATAGAAATGTTCTTCTACCCACAGTGAGAAGTCTTATTTTGCCAACTGTGGGCAAGAGAACAATTTCATAAGATCGAATACATGTGCCCCTGCTCTTAGGGTTTGTTTGGGAGATTTGACGTATCGATTATGAGCCCAATTTCAAGTATCAATTTTGAGCATTTATGAGCAAATTGGTTATAAGTGATTTTAATAGCATCTTTAAAATTGACCAATCTATACTTGAGAATTTATTATCCATAGATTTTGAAAGTTCTTTAAAAGAATAAAATTACATGGTTGTCCCATAGTAAAATTTTCAGTTTATAATTTCTTATATGATTTTTTTTCACTCCTACGCACTTATAATTAATTAATTTTTTAATCTCGAATCATATTGAATAAAAACCACCTAATCCTTCCAATCCTTGTTGTGGAGTCGTTTTACATATGAATTAATATTTAACTTGAAAAATTAAATAGTGTTAAATATAAAGTATTAAATATAAGTCCGTTGAGAATAGTAAAAACATAGAGAAAAATAATAAATATTTTTTAATTGATACCTTGATTTACACCAATGTGAGTTGGGGTAGATTTTGGCGTATTGATTTATGAAACACCTTTTTAAATCAATGGTTAGATTTTTGACACATAGAATGTATAAATCAAAGTGTACAAGTATATTAAAATTGTTGACATATAGATGTAAATTAATAAGATTATTCCTCTCACATGGAAAGAAGCCTACGAATATTTCATTATATGTGGGTCCCCTTCATGTTGGGAGTGTAATGCTTTATGTACACCATCGTGTACATATAACACAATCCAAATCAACACGTACATAATAAGTGTATAAGTAGCTTAATTATTTAAGCTCTGTTGTATACAGCTTGACATGATGCCACACGGCATCCAATCAATGGACAGCGCGCAAATACTGCAATGTTTGCAACCAATGCAGTACTGTCAATGTTGCACCATGCACTTGTACAAGTAGGTAATAATAATAGTTTAATTATTGACTTAATGTACAATTACAATTACTAAGCCAAGGACAACGCTGTTATTATTCTTTATTGCCATATTGATGAACTTTTGAATTCATCTACCTACCATCATCGAGACGATTCACAATTACAATAAAACGTGGCGGCCGCATTATTCTGATCTTTCGTGTTCTATTGATGAGTTCATCTGCCATGGCTGACACCATTGTGCTGTATCCCTCCCACGGAATTGGCCACATGATTTCCACGGTGGAGCTCGGGAAGCTTTTCCTCAAGCACCGCCCTTCATTCTCCATAACTATCTTCATCACCACCGGCGCCACCTCACCTTACGTAAACCATCTCATTGCCACCACCTCTTCCATCACCTTCCACCACCTCCCTGCGGTCGAACTTCCTCCCACCTCGACCTCTCTCTCTCCCGAAGAACTCTTCTTCGAAATTCCCCGCCTCAACAACCCATACGTCCACCAAGCCCTTCAGGATATATCCCGGAAATCAAATATCGTAGCCTTTTTCATAGATTTCTTCTGTAATGCTTCTTATCAAGTTTCGTCAAAGCTTGGAATTCCCACTTATTATTTCTTCACTACAGGCGCTTCTACGCTTTGCCATTTCTTGCACATTCCAACTCTCCATGAAACCATACCAAAGAACATCAAAGATCTACATGATTATATTCAAATTCCAGGCATCCCACCAGTTTATTCCCAAGATATGCCAAAAGGAATGTTCGACCGTGAAAGTAAAGCATACAAATTGATCTTAGAAACTGCAATACAGACGGGAAAATCATCTGGGATTTTGGTAAATTCTTTTGCAGCTCTTGAATCAAGAGCAGTGAAAGCATTATCCGATGGTTTATGTATTCCAAAAGAACAAACGCCGCCTATATACTGTGTTGGGCCTCTGATTGCAAGCAATGATGGAGGCAGTCAAAGTGATGAACATGAGTGTTTGAGCTGGTTAAATTTACAGCCTAGTAAAAGTGTTGTTTTTCTGTGTTTTGGGAGTTTGGGATTGTTCACAGCGGAGCAATATTATGTCTCTATAATGAAGCTCTGCCTTGTGGAAGAACTCGTCAACGTCTCATGTAAGGGGAAAACATAACGACTTGGAAGAAAGTCAAGATTTCGTTGTCACCTTGACAGTAATCGCAAAACGAACGGTACCACAAAATTGAGCCCTTGAAATTTTCTCCAAATGACATCATTTTCATAGAAACATTGTTTGGCTATTTCGTTAAAAAGAGGTGGTCGGGGATTTTTTTTAGACTTTTTTTTCTCAGTGTGTACGTTTCGCTGTATATTTTAAACCTTATTATTATTTTGGAATTAGTTAAAGTATAAATTCGGTATATTTTAATATATGTAGTAAATTGTCTTAAATCTCTGTTAAGTTCTAAATTTGCTTTCAAAAATCCCTTATTAGCACATTTGGCTAAGCTCAAAATATTTACTTATAAATAAATTTTAAATGACGGTAAATTAGAAATCTTGAAATAACTATTAATTATTGGTACGTTGTAATCCTATCAAAATAAGTAATGTTTACGTTAAGAAGTATATAACATGTTTGAAACAAAAATAATGTAAAAATATGAAGCTAAATTAGCTGAACATGCTGCTCAACAACAATTTAAAAGAATCGAAAAACGACACTTGGAACTTCTCTAATATTGTCCCCCAAGCAGTTTGAAGTTTGATTAAAAGCTAAGCTAGGAATAGATTCATCGATTGCGAAATGTAACAAATCTATCATCTATCTTTTTTAGCAAAAAAAATTCATATTCAACATTTCAATTGTGTAGCAAAATAGTCATTCCCTCCACTTGTCCATTAAAAGACAGATTTGTACTCTCTAAATAAACGAAGGCAATAGAATAACAAAAAATAAGGGTAATTTTCGAAAGGAATCCCTATCTTTATAAAGAGTACAAATAAATCTACTTAAAAAAATTGAGTACATAAAATTTTTTTTAAAATATAAACATTTCGTCTTCTCGACCATACTCATTACGGACATTGGCCGTCAATAGTAAGCTTTCAACACTGACGATCCGCCTTAACTGAACTCGAGCCCTAGATTCGCCCTACTATCATGCCTAGAAACCTCCATTTGACAACTAGTTTATATATAATTTATAAATTCAATTTAATTCAAACATTAATTGGTTGACATTATTTTTTAATAAATGGGGAACATGATATATGAATGCCTAGTGACTACCTTGTATATTTTATGATGTTTACGACTATTTCTTTTATTAATTTTCTTTATAAATAACTTATAAACTTCTCGAACAGGAAGCTATCTATTATTATTAGAAAAAAGTAACGTTATTTTTTAAATCTTGGCTTTAACAGGATTCTTGAAAAGAACTAAAGATAAAGGGCTAGTGGTGAAGTCATGGGCACCACAAGTGGACGTGCTGAGTCATGACTCGGTGGGCGGATTCGTAACTCACTGTGGTTGGAACTCAGTTCTGGAGGCTATTTGCGCTGGGGTACCAATGCTAGCTTGGCCACTGTATGCAGAGCAAAGGATGAATAGGCTTTTCATCGTGGAGGAAATAAAGGTGGCATTGGGTTTGACTGAGTCTGCCAACGGGTTTGTTACTGCTGCTGAATTCGAGAAGCGAATCAGAGAGTTGATGGACTCAAAGATTGGGAAAGCGGTGAGGGATCAGGTTATGGCTATGAGAAATAGCGCCAAGGCTGCAATCCAAGATGGTGGGTCTTCTCATTTAGCCATGGAAAAGCTCATTGAGTCATTGACAAAGGGATAAAAATCTTAGCGAGATCGTTATTGCTATATTTGTTCCATCATATCCAGTTCAACTGTTGTAACTTGTTCATGATTTGATAGAATTGTTTCAAGAATGTAATAAATCATTAAACATTTAGTAAAAGTCTCCGATTACTCAACCTAATTTCTGCACTCTAGATCACTTGCTTGCTTGACATCATCAAGGCAATCAAATAGAGAATGCCATGGTGATGCATTCATCTTCATCAATGCAGTATGTAAAGGCTGAACCTCCTAGTCGAAGTAAGGTTCCACGATCTGCTACAACCCTCTTTCGAAGTGACAAAGTCTTTGATTTCACAAGGCGTCTTCCATAGTTTTGCCTCATCCAAGAGATTCTTCGTATGAATGATTGATTTGATATTTCTACAATAGGTGTCTCTCAAACATTTTGTTAGTTTATTTCAAATATCAAACCTAGGTTATAGAGTCGTCATTTTTCAAAATCATTAACTAATATATGAACTTAAGACTGTGAAGGGACACCTATGATGATGACACATAGATCGTTAAAATACATGTTTAAGACACATCCTTATGGCTCATATTTTTTTTTGCTCATCCTACACAAAAAATATACATTTATAGTTGTCTGACTTGACCGTCAGAGTGTTCTCGAGCTCATCCCCCAACATCGAGAAGGTCAGTGCATCAACAATTTGTCCAAGTATGCAGGAACCTTATACTCGACGTGAGTGGAGCCAGATCTGTTGATCACATTGCCTAATCAAACTTCGAGGCCAACTCGTTTGCTATTTATTAATGCATAGCATTTTAATTATTTTTTTTCTTTTAAGTACTCCTTTTTAAACACTCTTAAACAACATCATATTTTCGAGAAGTGAGCTACATTGTCACCTAACAAACTTGTGGACATTAATATTATGTCTCTATAATGAAGCTCTGCCTTGTGGAAGAACTCGTCAACGTCTCATGTAAGGGGAAAACATAACGACTTGGAAGAAAGTCAAGATTTCGTTGTCACCTTGACAGTAATCGCAAAACGAACGGTACCACAAAATTGAGCCCTTGAAATTTTCTCCAAATGACATCATTTTCATAGAAACATTGTTTGGCTATTTCGTTAAAAAGAGGTGGTCGGGGATTTTTTTAGACTATTTTTTTTCAGTGTGTACGTTTCGCTGTATATTTTAAACCTTATTATTATTTTGGAATTAGTTAAAGTATTAATTTGTTATATTTTAATATATGTAGTAAATTGTCTTAAATCTCTGTTAAGTTCTAAATTTGCTTTCAAAAATCCCTTCTTAGCACATTTGGCTAAGCTCAAAAGATTTACTTATAAATAAATTTTACATGACGGTAAATTAGAAATCTTGGTCAAGGAAATACGTTGTAATCCTATCAAAATAAGTAATGTTTATGTTGAGAAGTATATAACATGTTTGAAACAAAAGTAATGTAAAAGTATGAAGCTAAATTAGCTGAACATGCTCCTCAACAATTTAAAAGAATTGAAAAACGACACTTGAAACTTCTCTAATATTGTCCCCCAAGCGGTTTGAAGTTTGATTAAAAGCTAAGCCAGGAATAGATTGACTATCGTTGCAAAAAAATTTATTGAAAATTTTGCACTTTTCATTTCATCGTTTGCGAAATGTAACAAATCTATCATCTATCTTTTTTAGCAGATAAATTCATATTCAACATTTCAATTATGTAGCAAAATCGTCATTCCCTCCATTTGTCCATTAAAAGACAGATTTGTACTCTCTAAATAAACGAAGGCAATAGAATAACAAAAAATAAGGGTAATTTTCGAAAGGAATCCCTATCTTTATAAAGAGTACAAATAAATCTACTTAAAAAAATTGAGTACATAAATTTTTTTTTAAAATATAAACATTTCGTCTTCTCGACCATACTCATCCACCTACTCCATCCCATCCCATTCCACCCCAACCACACATGCATATTACTTCTTCCTCGTTAGAGAGGTAATGAGAATTCTTCTAGGAGTTTGAATATTTATGATGCATTCATTTATTTTCGTAATGAGCTTATTGAAGTGTCTTCTATTATTTAAGGCATAATGTGTAGAATTTCTATAATTGACAGAAAGAGTCGTGAACGCACTTGATTTTAGAGGATCCCGTCGAATCAGAGACTCAAATTCAAGTCACTCATATGACAATGCTTGGCTCAAATTATCTGAGCTAGGCTTTAGTCTCGTCTTATATATATGAAAAGTCTTTTGAAAATAACTAGTAATAAAAATGACAAGGATCAATTATTTTTACAATTTCAAGGAAGATTTTGAAAATGACAAGTAAGAAAAAGTCTTTTGAAAATAACAAGTAAGAAAAAGTATTTTAAAAATTTCTCTACGTAGATACCAAATTTGTAGACATTCTTCGTAGTAAGAATTCAAAATCTTTGTACAATCAATTCTTTGTACCATCAATTCAAAATCTTGTAACAAAAAGTCTTTGTAATAAAAGGTCTTGTGCCGAATTTTTTGAAAAAGTCTACGTGTCAATTTTAATTCTATTTGAAAAATTTGTGGAAAAAAATCTTATCTTATATTTTTATCATAGAGAATAATTCGGTAGAAAAATTTTCTTATAGGAAAATGACAACTAAGAAAAAGAAAGTCTTGTAAGAAAAAGACTTGTAGCAAAAGGTCTTCCAAAAATTTACACAAGTTTTGAAAACCAAATTTTTCCACGCCATAAATATTTTTTAGATTTTTATTCCTGTCAATAAATTTGGCAATAAAAAGTCTATTACCAATTTCAAGAAATTTGGCAATAAAAAGTCTACTACCAATTAATTTTTGAAGACAAAAACTTTGAAAAAATTCTTCTAATTTGTTGAACGGTTAAGCATTCAAAGGCCGTTACAAACATATCGTTTTAAAATTCTAATATTTTATACCTTTAGATTACACTACCTTACTTACTCGTTCATTAGAAAGTTTTAACGAATATATCAATACTTGTTTAGAAAACGAAGATATAGGAAGATTAATCATTGTAGGAAGTCATATTTTATCCACTATAGATAGAAATAGAGGTGACTTCTCTTTACAGATCAAGAAACAGATCACTGAACTCTCTATCTCTCAGTGTTATAGTTTCTTGATAAAAGATCCTAAAAATTGTAAAGAAAGACAACAACGAGCAAAGATTATAACAGAAAATAATAAACGAAATTTCAATAGAATTAATTAGACATTTTTAGTAATTGAACTTTAGTAGCAAAGATAATATAAATTGGTATAATATTTTTTCAAACTTTTTCTCTTCAAAAATTAATTGCTAGTAGACTTTTTATTGACAAATTTCTTGAAACTAATAGTAGACTTTTTATTGCCAAACTTATTGATTGGAAGAAAAGTCTAAAGAATATTTATTGTCAGGAAACATTTGGTTTTCAAAACGTGTGTAAATTTTTGAGAGACTTTTTCCTACAAGTTTTTTTCTTACAAGACTTTCTTTTTCTTAGTTGTCATTTTTCTACAAGAAAATTTTTCAACCAAATTATTCTCTACGATAAAAATATAAGATAAGACTTTTTTCCACAAATTTTTCAAACAGAATTAAATTGACACGTAGACTTTTTCAAAAAAATTCGGTACAAGACTTTTTGCTACAAGATTTTGAATTGATTGTACAAAGATTTTGAATTCTTACTACGAAGACTGTCTATAAAATTAGTATATATATAGAGAAATTTTTAAAAGATTTTTTCTTGTTATTTTCAAAAGACTTTTTATCACTTGTCATTTTCAAAATCTTCCTTGAAATTAGTATCAGAGCCTAGAACAGTAAAAAATTATATAGTTTATGAAAAAAAATCGAGTATTTAAATTTAGAAATTTTAGGAAGCTATAAAAGAAAAGATAACTTAGAATCAGCTTTTCTAATCCGTAATTTTGATAATAAGTTTAGACATACTTTATATAGTTAAGATAAACAGTTAAATAATATTGTAGACTTACTTGTAAATTTAGGAGAAATTTTAAAAAAGAACAATTCTAATAAAAGAGTGGAAACTTTATTAGAAAATATAAATAAAAATATAAAGATTTTAGAAGCTAATCTAGAATATATTAAAAACCAAAATATCGAAATACTAAAAAGAAAATCTAATAATATAGGAGAAATAGAATCTAGTCCTAACTTAGAAAAATTGGAAAGCATAGTTAAAGCATTAAAAAGAGAAAAGTCAATAGATAGTAGACAAGATTTAGATAATATAATAAATAAATTAGAAAAATTAGATTTAGGTAAAACTAAAGAACCTAGTAGATTTAAGAAAATTAAGTAGATCTTTACATAATGGATAAAGAAAAACGAAACGTAGCCAGTAGTAATAAATTATTAGGTTTCCTTTATTAAGAACATTGAGTAGAAAAACAGAATCCGAAACAAGACTAGAATCTCTAATATATGTAGAAGAACAAATAGAAATGTTTAGACAGAATAAATTAAAATAGTAAAAGCGTTATATATATATATAAGAAAATTTATTTAGCAAATCTTTAATATATCAGCATTATGGAGAAAGATATGTTTCCTGTACACATGAAAATTAATTTATATCTCTAGATTTAATAGAAAAATAATCTTATAAAGAAATTGTTAATGAAAATCTTCAACAGATTCATTTAGGATTAATAATAATAGGAGTAAAAGGGTTTCATAGAGAAAATTTAGGAGCTGAAGTATTAGTATGTTTATATGATAGCAGGTTCACAGATATTGAACAGTGATTATTGGGAAGCATAGAATTATATACGAATAATAAAGTTGGAATAACATATTTTACACCAGACTATTTAGTTAGAACAAAAGAATTCTATAAAAATATTTAAATAGGAATAACAAGCAAAGGATATCAAATTAAAATAGATGAGGATAATTTATTAATTTGCACAGGATTCATAAGAAGACATAGTGAAAATAGTATTACTAATTCTAAATTAGAAAATAATCAAATAATTATATTATTAGGACAAAAAAATATAAAAGCTATCCCAACAAAGAAATTCTTTTCAGAAATATATGCAAGATTAGATTGGAACTTAGGAAATTTTCTACAAAAATCAATATTAGTACCAGAAAATAATATTATGTACAAAAATAGTAATGAAACGTTAAGTATTAGATTTGGAAATTATAAGTATCAAGTAGAACAGACACGGCATAATAAGGAAGAAAATGAAGAAGAATGTGGATATTTTGAAATAGAGGACTACGAAAGTGAAGACGAAATTAATGCTTTAGATGAAGATAGTGAAG